TTTAAGTAATATTAGCACTGATATTAAAATATGCTTATGAATTTTTAATATTAAGCTTTAAATCATCAAATTTAATCTGCTTTTTCTATTCATACAACATAAATGTTAGCTACCTCATGAAAGTATTACACAAGTAAGATTGCATAACAGTATTAGTCATATAAAAATTAGAAATTTTCGTACTTTTCTCAAATGAATGAGGTTCATTCGAGGTTCAGACTTGGTGCATGAAGGTGCAGTTGCCCCTCACTCCCTATTTTTTTTACATTTTAGTCTATGCATTATATGTTTGATCAGATAGCCTGGCTCAGTATAAGTAGGCGGCCAGTGTAACTCTGATTCAAAATCCAGTTATGACAACGAGCGGTGCTGATAACGACCACATTTTCTGAGACTCCTTTGCTGATGCTTTATTTTTCTTCTTTTTTTTCCCCTTTCTAGTAATTTTGTTCTCCTGATGAAGAGGGACCTTTAGCTGCCCTCTAAATCGATCGAGTGTTTTAATATATGTACGCTAAATACAAGGTTGTTATTGTGATTTTGATCATTTAAAACGTGCAAAATTTTATACATTCTTAAATTCTAAATTTTAAAATTAGAAAGAACTAATTTTTAAAGTTTCTTCTTTTAGTTTTTCATGTCTTTCTTCAAAAATCAGATTATACCACTGTCTCACACTCTTGTTGGCAAGGGATATTGTTACTGCATATTTTTAAAGCATGGATATGAAATTTCTATTGGGGAAAAAACCAAGAAAAAAAATGTTTCTTAATGAAAGTAAAACCTGAATTATTTAATTGTACAATTTATTCACATACTCAATAATTTAATTGGTTTTTGTCTTCTTAATAAGAAAATACTATTCTGTGTTAAATTGTATAAGCATATATTTTACATAATGTATAATAAATTGAATCCATAAAAAAATTAGAAAAGGATAAAATATTATTTGTTAAAATTATTTTAAATGAAAAAGAATGTTGAATTATTTATTTGCCTCACAAAATATATCATATAGTTTCTATTAGTAATATCTGTATATATACTAAATGGATCTAACTTAGAGGTGATGGGGTTTTGTTAGACATTTTGTTCCTAGCCTTCAGGTTTGTAAATTGGTCCCTGATAATGGGATATAATGGGAAGGAATACTGATTTGAAAAATTTTCTATCTTAAGATAACATAACTGCCTACTGGAAACCAAACATAAAAACAAATTCTTCCATATAAAAATATAACTTTTTTTGGCATTATTTTCCATGCAAGAATAAATCATAAATTTTTGAATGAAGCATGTTTTCTTCCCAAGTAATACATAATTTAAGTATAAAAACAAGAGAAAGTAAACTATTTGATTATTTATTTTAATAGATTATCTTCAATAATGACATTTTTTCAGTTGCATAGTTTTTATGATAAATAACACTAAATACAGTACAAAGTCCGAAATCTGGACGTCCATTATCCGGAATGATCTAAAATCCGGACCTCAAAACCACAAAATTTTTCTTTTGATTTCCCCCCTAAGTGCATAATAAAACATCTGGAGAGTCCCGATTCTTAATTTCACTTTGACACTAAATAAAATACCTTGTTATTGAACAAACAATCATTTTAGCATAAATTTTTACGATCAGTACGTTGCTGCATATTTGCTTGGCACGCATCTCAAACCGAAATATTCCACATAGATACATCATTGATCTGACGCCAACCTGGCGAATCATTATTTATTATACTTTCCTTTCATTACCGCATGTTTATCCAAACATGGCAACTTGAGTAATGACTCATGTAGCCAGGGCTTAATTTCAAAAATTAGAAGTACCGGAGCCCTATAGAAGACCTTCAGGAAAGAGGAACAAGAATAAATAGAAAATATGATGATTAATAAAATCATTAACAATTATAAAAAATTAAATAATTCATTATTAAAATAATTAAATAATTAATGGTTAAAGTAATTAAATAATTAAAATTTAATAAAATGCAAAGAGATAAATTAGAATTTAATAAGCAATTTTCAATATAATTTTATTAGTAAAAATAAAGTTTTCAAGATAAAATTTCTACTGAAATTATTGTTCAGTTACATAAAAAAGTTCTTATTTAGGGCTCCGGTGCGCTCCGGCTAAAATTATAAATTATCCCCAAAACTAAGAAGTACAGGAGCCAGGCTCCTGTGGGCTCTGGCGCAATTTAAGCCCTGCATGTGGCGATACTTAAACAATTTTTTTATGTTAGCATTTGAATAATAAAGGAATGTGGTGACCTTATATGTTGACATTATGCTTGGCGATGATTACAGATTTCAATTGCGCTAAAAAATGTTGTTGAAGAAATATTTACCAAAATAATAAATTAATAATAATGTATCAAAAATTAATAATAATGTATCAAAAATTTCTTTCCGTATGCTAAAAATAGATTTTGTTGATGATACTCATAGACCTAAAGATTACATTTAGATCATAACTACTCATAATATTTCATAAATCGCGATTTCATATTTTATATTTTATAATTTCTACATGCCATCTTACTAGGTTTAAACTAATGATCTATTATCCGGAAAAATCGCAAATTTGGAATCGAAAAGTCTGGACTTCAGACTTTGTACTATATAATGTTCATCAGTTACCTAATAATCATTTTATACACTTCAATTTTAATTTTCTGATATTAAAACAACATATATTTATCATTTTATAAATTTCTGTCTTTTAAGTTTGTTTATATAGTTTTAAACTGAAGTGCATTAATATTTACAGTAGAGTAATTTTCTAATGCAAATTGAATTAATACAGTGTACAACATGAAAGGTTTTACGGTAGTAAACTGATATATATGAAAACAATTATTCACATAAACAACCACAAAATTCTTTAAGAAAAGATTTCAGATCATTTTAATAGGGCATAATAAAAGCCTGCTTTAAAAAAGTGCTGAACTTCTCATATGTACATATATAAATATCATAAGCATTTAATTTTGACATTACTTTCAATTAAAAAAAAGAAGCAATCCACTTCAAAAGGTGGCACACAATGGTTTTCACATAATAAAAATAAACTTTGCTACAGATGAAAGGGAACTGTGTTGACCTACAGTAGGCAATGAGCATCTTTTTCTATCGAAATTAATTCCAAATAAAATAAAAACTGAATGTTGTCCATTTGACATCCAAACATTCCATTTTTATATACATTTTCCATTCTTGTACAATCATGCAAGCTTATATTTACAATTTATACACAAAATCTTGAAGTATTCAAAAACATTAAAATTATTATGGAATCTAACAAAATATACATTAAAACGGATATCCCGAGTAAAGGCAAAGGGAAAAAAATTTTGAAATTCAGAAAAGAGAAAAACACGAGAAAATGTGATACATAACAGTACAAAAAATGTATGAAATTCAGAAAAAAAAAAGGTAAATATAAAAATATGAAATGTATACAGCATGCAAAATTTATCAGGTATACCACTAAAAAAGAACATAAAAGTTCAGTTTAGACTTCAAGTTTAAAGTAAAATCTTCCAAATGGATTAATATTAACTGAACATGAATGGAAAAGAAGAAAAAAATGTATATAAAAATTAGTTAATTAGAAATAGATTTCATGGAAAAGTTTTATTGGCATTAAACAATATTTATCTTGAAAAGTATAAAATAAATAATATATTTCTTTGTTATAATCACTTATTACCAAAGTTCAAAAATAAGTAACACACACAGAGTGCTTGAAAAAGGTGGCTAAGTAATTTTCTCTTCAATATTGATTACAATTACACACACAAATATGTATGTATGTACATACATACTTCCTAGGATTCTTAAAGTAAGGTGCAAAATATTATGAAAATAAATTCATAGGATCAGAGATATAAAAAGAGGGATGTCTATAGTTTCATATCATCTAGAATACAATAAAGAGTTTTCTTGTTTCTTATCCTTCTGATTTGAAAGGATCTCGATAGGGACCATGAATTTATCATGACCAGCCAAGAGGTAGTAAAGGCTGCTAGCCAATGCTTTGGACATTTTAAGTGACAAACTTTTGCCCAACTTTATTATAATATTGATGAAAGCAACCCAGAAGATGGATCCAAGCATGTGCTCTCTTCAAGACCACCAGTGCCTTGAGAGGACTTTCAGCTCAATATCATTAGCAAATAGTCAAGAGATTAAAAACTCTCTCCATCAAAATTTTCAGTCTTCCATATAGGAAACAAGCAACAACATTGAATTTACTGCATCTTATCAGATGACCAAGACGGCTGTACATTCTTCATACTGGGATGGTCAAGAAATGTTGATCGCTAAAACAGAAACCAAGTACACCACATAGGAGTCGAAGGAACTGAAAAAGATCCAAAGACATCAACGAACCAGACACCTCATCTTAACCTAGTCTCACATAAGTGTCACTCATGTCATTTTTCAGTGCTAAAGTAAGTAGGAAATGCAAATTTCTAACAAATCTATGCACTGCAGGTAGCCAATATTCCATAAAATCAAACAACTCAAATGCACTCAGTATCATTGTGCCATGGCAATCCTGATTTTAGCAAAAATATGCACACACAATTTGAACTTAAAGCTTCATTTAAAATTAGAAAAGAAACCTTAGATCAGAGTAAATCTGATTTTTTTTTTTCAATGGCGGGAAAAGAAAGAATGAAATTTACTAAGAAATCAATAGGTGGAACAAAAATAACAAACAAACAAAAACTTAGCATCATCTATCAAGAAAAACTACATGAAGCGTGAAAAGCTATGACTTCGAATTTTGAAAATGATGGAAAGTAATGTCATTTACAATTAAAGATAAATTTTTGTTAATGTGAAAGGCTTTAAAGAAATCCAGTACACCAATCAAAGCTACTTTTTTAATAATTAATAATAATTCATTAGTATGAAAGACAGAAGTACACAGTAAATTTGCAATGCAGTTCACAGAATTTTTTATCATTACTTTGTTTAATGTCAGTATTTTTTTTTTTTTTTTTTTTCCATTTTACATGCCCAATTTTAATTAAATTTTACTGTATTTATGCAAATGGATTGCAGCTTAAGGATAGCCCACCATGAAGGTTTCGATGCCTTTATGCAAGTTGGCTAGTATTTGTCAAAATATAAACATTTGCAAGGATGATGCAACATATAAATGTAATGCATTCTTATTAAGAACAATTAGGAAAATAACCTTTATTGGGGCGCTGTTATGAAGCCATCTCGTTATATAAACATGACCTTATTTAAAATATTTAATACTATGCACACTACTCTCATAGATTTTGTGACATCATTCCAAATAAGTAAAATTTTTCTTTAATTAAATATCCATAAACTTTTTACTTTTTTAAATATTTAAAGCATAATGAACGTTTCATCCATTGGAACCTTTATTTGGTTTATGTAAAAAGTTATTTATGTTTTTACAAACTGCTCCTCCCACAGTACAGAGATGAAATTCTCCACATTATTTTGAGAAACTTGAGACCACATTATTTGAGAAAATCAGATCAATATTGAGGAAGTGGAAGTTCATAGCTACCTTTTTCAAATAACCTATATAACTTTATAGGAAATTTCATAACACTCTTTCAGTTTTTGTATTTCAACAATACAGAAAACAAAATTCAAGAGGAAAGTTTTACCTCTATTCAAATTAGAATATTACACTGTGTCCCTTCCTTCAATAGCAAATGTAAAAGTAGATTCAAAAGTTTTAAAGTTAATTGAAATGTTATATTTTAATACATGGTGTCCAGTTGTCACAGACAAAGGGTCAATGAAATACACTCCCTGCTGGCTATTCATGTACCAACTAATGGGACAGTCTGGTTTAAGAGCTTCAACAGGTCCAGTTGTCAAAATTGTATCATCCACATAGAAATCAGCCCAAAGAGCGACACCATTGCACGTTCCAGAACTAAAAAGAAATTTACAAAAATTTAATCTTGCAAACTATACATGTAATTTTATTAAAAACATTTATTGAAGCATCAATCTAAATATTTGTTGCTACTACCGATAGCTTTACAGCATATACATAGCTCAAAGAAAAAACAAAATACAACAGCAGTCCTCTTTTAATAAATTTGGATTAATGCAGAGTCTTAAAAAAAAGACTGCCTAAATTATAAAATATTATTCCAAAGCCATTTCATGTATCAATGATTCAAGTGTGTGTGATATGGTAAAGAAATGCAAGTTTAACACATGAAGGTTTGGCAAGTTTCTTCTACAGTTATAAAAAAACAGCAGGAAGATTTTTTTCTGAGTAAGTTTCTTTGGATTTTAATTTGGAAATAACAAGAAGAACTTGGATATTCAGCAACTCCTCACTACAGGAAATAAACAGTAAAGTTCCTTAGGATAAACTCTAACTTGTAGTTCAGCTAATCACGAAGTCTAACGGCTGATTTGCAATTGCTTTACAACTGAACTCCTTAGCTCTACAACATGTATTTATACACTGCAGCAGGAGATCTGGTAACTTCGGGAAGAATTGGTCATAGGATTTGAAAAATGTGTTTTCACGAACCTTCCATAAAGTAGTCAAATTGGCAAGAAATTGCCAAGGTCACTCAGAAACAAAATTGCCTATATCTTATATATATTTCAGTTCATATCAATAACAAAAATAGCAAATAACATAATTATATAAACAGAATAAGAAATAAAATTGAATAAAAAAAGAAAAATATAAAATAGAATCTGCATCGCCGTAAAAGCAGAGAAGCAAAACAGAACATTTTAAGTACTGAGTTTTAATGGGGGAAAAAAAAAATTATTATTGAGTACAAGGTGTCTGAAATGGAACTATCACGCTACCAGATTAGAACCATCATTTACTTGCAGTTCTGCTGCAAAAAGTCAGTTACAGAATGTTACCAAATCATGTGTATAGCTTTAGGTACTAATGTTGTATCATTTGATTCTGTGAAGGTTTGGTTACTGAAAATTAAAAACAAGGACTATGATATTCAAGAAGCAAAGTGCTTTGGCTGGCCTACTGATATTGATGAGGCCCGCCGGAGAGAACTTGTGGAAGAAGATCAGTATGCAACCACTCAGAGCTTGCTAAGAAGTTAGACTTTAGTGCCATGTCTGTTAGTCATGTTATGCATCGCATAAACTTGGCATACAAGTTCAATCGCTGGGCTGACTGCCATGTGAGCTGACTCAAGCAGATAAGGATAGACATGTGCATGACACCAGTCTGCTTGAATATCAATGCAAAGACAAAATTCTGGACTGGATTGTCATTTGTGATGAAAAGCGGATTTACTTCAACAACAAAGGACGAAAAGGGGGTTGGTCTGCACCCAGTGAACCCATCAACAGCGTCACAAAGTGCAATTTGACTAACAAAAATAATCATGCCATGTATTTGTTGATAATGCAAGACCATATGTATATGCATTCATCGGCTGGACTCTATAAGGACTAGAATGGGACCTTTTGCAACACCCACCACATAGCCCCAACAACATCACTCCTTCAGACTTCTACCTTTTTTCTCACTTGCAGCTACATCTTGTTAGTGCTATCTTCCATTCTTCATAGGATGTCTGAAATGAGGTTGATCTGTTTTTGGTCTTGTGGCCACCAAGTATCTGGGCTGAAGGCTTTGAAAATTATCAAAATATTGGCAGAAAATCATAGATTTGGATGGTGATTACTGCCTGCACTAACGATACTACTACTTTTTATGTTTTCCCCCTAACTTTATTAAGAGCGCTTTTTGGCGGAAAACTTTTGTTACAACCAGATATTTCGAATTTATAAACCTATTTTGCAATTTCAAATATATAGCCCATTTTGCAATTTTTTCCCCCACCTTTTTTTTTTTTTTTTTTTTTCTAAATGAGTTCATATGGCAATCTTGTTCAAAGACTCTATGAAAACTTCTTTTGCCAAGACTACCAACCAGTTAAAGAAAGAGGAGGAGCTACTGGACAAAATAAAGAAATAAAACAAAATGCTGTAAAATTGTGACATGTTTAACCCTCTGAGCAGCCAGGGTTTTCGCAAGAAAGCACAAATTTCCCAAAACTACTATGAGAACAAATTATTTTTTTGATTTTAATGTAAAAACTCTGATGGTATTTCATATCTGGATTTATGTACTTTTAATATACTGCCTTAATTTCTTTGACGCATTTTAATATGCACGTATATATACATTGTTATCGATATCACAAAAAATATTCTAGATTGTATATTTATGGCCTTGCTGCTTAGAGGAATAAAACATTGAAATATCCCTAAAAACTGTTACTTAAAAATAAAAATCGCTTATAAACTATTACTTAAAAATAAAAATCTTTAACTGTGTCTTGGTCAATAAGTTTGGGGGGGGGAAATCAATGGAATGTCGCATCAATAAATGAATAAGAATTCCATCACACTTTTCATTGAATTGTTTTAGGAAAATCATTTCATTATTTTGCATTTTTTTGTAGGATTAGTAAAAATTGAAATGAATTAAATACATTAAACTACTATCAATAAAATTATTCTTTTTACCATCCCATGGGTTAACTTTTTCCAGTTTTATTTCTCATTTCTTCTATTATCCTGAAAGAAATATATTTCTTTCCTGAAAGAAATATATTTCTTTCGGGAAAAACCCAACTCTGTGTGATGCTAAAGATGGAAATGAGAGGTCTGTTACAATTGAATTGAAAGAAATGGAGCAATCCATTTCTGCTTTGATGGAGAGCTCATATCTTAATCCAATAGAAAAGGCTTGAAAAGTGATTTCCCACATGCAAAATAAAGATGCAAATCAGAAGTTCTTCAACACTTAAACTGTCAGGAATGAATGAATCCGGATATGGATCATTCCATTTCTGCTTTGATGGAGAGCTCATATCTTAATCTCCAACAGAAAAGGCTTGAAAAGTGATTTCCCACATGCAGAATAAAGTTGCAGCAGAAGTTCTTCAACACTTAGTGTCAGGAGTGAATGAATCCAGACCTGTTTTATTGGGAAGCTCAGTTTTACCCTAGTCAGAGCAGGTAACAAGTTAAATTAGCTTCCTTTCTTTAACTAAAAATATAATATCTACAAAACAATTTTAAACTGAATGCTGAATTATAAAATGAAATAGTTCTGTGAAGCAACTTTAAAATAAGTTTAGTCATGATGAAGAAAACTTTATGGATTGTACAAACAATAAGTAAAGAGAAATATGTGATGATTATACAACTCACTTAATCACCAGGGTTGATAACAGGCAAATGCTGTTGCTTTTATGAAAAGATATGATGACAAATAGGAAGAGAAATATGCTAGTGTAAAACTTTCCTGTCTTTCCTAATTTTAAAATTATGACAGTCTTGCAATACAAATAAGGGAATAAAAACGTCTAGAATTTATTCCTATCTTAGCAAAGTTAAGACAAAAAGGGGAAAATTATAATTGTAAAAGTGCAGTACAAAGCTGATCTTTGCTAAGTAGCTTTTTTTCATAAAAACTTCAAATGGTGAATTTGCAAAATTTATTTTTTCTCCATTAAGAGTTGGAAAAATAAGACTTAATAATAAAATATGTGGCCTTAACAATTAATTTAAAGAGTGTTCTCTGCATACTTCAGAAAAATGTTATTTTTCAAAATTTTATCTTAAATTTATGAACACTCTCGCTGCACATCCCGCGATTTCCACAGGCAATGTAGAAGTAGCAAGATTTGTGCAACCCGCAATTTCCGCGGGGATGCATTGCCGTCTATTTAACTGTGCAACCCACTCTTTCCCCGTTTAAGGTTTCCTTTCGGCTTTTTTGTGATGCTTAATTGTTTATTTAGATGTGGGCTAACAGACGGTGTTAATTGTCCACATTTCTGCCAAATATACAAGAATACGTAATGTAGCATTTTGTGTGCGCTTTTCAGACCTCAAAGATGTCTGGCAGGAAGTGTTTTGTGAGTGATATAACCTATATTCCTGACGATATTTCCGACACTGATAGTAGTTCTGACTCTGATTTCAAGTATATTGAAGATAGTTATAGCGAACTGATGAGAATTTCTCGGGTTCCTCTGCAGATAGTGATGAAACTGAAAATTCAGTTTCTATTGAAAATGTTCAACAGTGGTGCAAAATTGATATGCAAAATATTACAGGGTTCGTACACACTTCTGCACACAGAAATTAAGTACTTTAAAGGACTTTTAAGGACCATTAATGGAAAAAATTAAGGACCTATGAGCAAATGGGAACTGGATAAATTCAATTAAAAATATTATTCTATGCCTGAATTTCACTTTTGTAATACCATCCTAAAAAAAAAAAAAATAGATCCCTAAGTAGTATGCATTATTACTAAACATGAATTAATTAACATAATTTAGTAAATAGCAGGTATTAGATTTTATTAACAAGTTTGAGAATAAAATAAACTTCAGGCAATTTAACAAGTAGCATTAAATATTTTACACTTAATAATAGTTGTGCATATTTGAAAGAAGATAAATGACATTTATGTTTTACTAATAGTTAGCTTTATGCTGATTTTTTTATCTCATTTTGTCACATACTTGGTCAGTTTAGAGGTTTAGTAAATAGCAGGTATTAGATTTTATTTCAAGTGGAATAAGTTAAAATGAGAAGTACGATCATAATCAGCATGATTCATAACAAAAGACTGAATGTTGTCACCGCTGCTGATTGTCCAGAGAGAGACATGCTGATTCGAACAACCCTGAAAGGCCTGATGAAGGCATGGTTGGCAAGTGTTGAAATTTAGTCAGGCTCTGTTTGATGCAGTTAGTGTCATAGCTTTGTGTAAAATTCCAGGGGTTGCAACCCAGTTCATATACTTTCAGGTTCCAATAAGCCATTAAAGCAACCAGAGGTGATAAGTTGTTTTGTATTATTTTAAGTCTCACTAGATGCAAAGTATAAGTTTTACTTGAATTTCTACATTTTTGTGTTTTATCTTGTGACCACAGTGAGTATTAATGAAAGGCAATAACTCGCTTTAATATGTAGAGATAATTTTTAAGGGTAAGCAGTTAGTTATAAATAATTAAATTAGGTAAATAGGTAACCTTAGTCATTATGCATTTACATGGCCACTATTAAATTTTATTTTTTAACAATATTTGTTAAAAAAGCAATATTAAAATCAAAATCTAATAAAATTGCACAGTTTAAAATACATGTAATTTATGACACTGATTCTTAAACGATATTAGATTAATTACACATTAAAAGCTACAAAAAATTAATGTTTTGTAACAACAACACTCAACAAAATGTTTATCCGTCATTTTAATTTGAAGCCTTTCCAAACATTTTGGATACTTTATATTAAGCATCTTCTCTAAAAATGAGAGATTTGTCTCAATATGCAACCAATGCTCTCGCTAGTTTATCTCCCAACTTATCAACCTCTCCACAATGTACCTATGAGGGTTTACTTGATCTGGTAAAAGTTAAATAGTCCAAAACCAAAAAAAGACAAACGTGAAGCAAATTACCCCTATGTCTGAAAGTAATTACAATATCAGACAAAGGTTTAAAAAAGAATCTCTTATTTAAAAAGAACTTAGAACATAAAGGCATGTTCTGATGCTAACAAAATCAATTACAGCTCACGGTGACGTAATTAAATAAGAGCAGTCAAATTCAAAATCAAAATGTGGACTAGAGGTCAAAGATTATACAATTTAATTTAAATTTAATCTGGCTCAGTAACTCTATCATTTGAGGAAATAGACATGGGAAATTATAGTGAAGACTGAAATCATAAACAATTGAGTAATTTACATAATAATAACTGCACATATCTTTGAAGAATAATTTTCTTTATGTATTCAGTTTCTTTCTTCAACACGTTTCCTTTTCATTTTAGAATTCTGGGATTTAATTAAGGATTTCTCTTATCCTAAAAAACACTAAATGCATTTAGAATATACAGAAAAAGTGGCTAATTTTATTTCTTTGGTAATATGAATATTCAGAAAAAATATTAAATATATATGGTAAAGGCCGGTTACAGAGCTGGTGTGGCAGAATGTTTAGAATTTAGTGACACACGGAACAACAAAATCTAGAAATGGGAAAACTCTTAGAATTTAGAGCAGACATTGGAAGCAGAATTTAAAAAGGCACTAGGCAGCAGAATTTAGGATCCACAGAGATTGCTTTTTATATATTTAGAAAGACAGTGTCTTATTATATCTTTATTACATTTGATAATAAGTTTGAGATTTAAATTACAATAATTATGTTAAAAGTAAATTTGATACCACAGTAATATTTTTGCATTTAAAAATGATAATTTATTATTCAATTTTTAAAATTTTGTTACATCAATAAGTAATACTAAATTCAAAAGTAGAAAAAGAATTCTATTTGTGGAAAATCCCTAGTGCCCTCTCTGTGTATGATGCATTAAGACATATTAGATGAATCTTTTAAATTGTAAGTTTTCAATTTCTTTATTAATAAAAAATTCCTTTCTATAATGCCTGCCCAAATGATAAGATTAGAAGCATTTTTGATATTTTCTATGATTAGAAGCATTTTTCTAGTGAAAAGTAGAGAAAATAAAGGGAAGATAAACATGTTAAGAAAAATTAGAAAGATTCTAGTATCAGGAGTAAAACAGTCAAATATTATGTTTTCATTACTCTTCCAGACCTCCAAAAAATCAGATATTTATCACAAACTTTTTGTAAAATACATCCATTACGTGTTGATACCATGGAGATATTTTTCATTTTGTCACATATTTCTCGAATCTTCTAGAATCGTGGGTCTATAAATCTTGCCTTCAAATCCTTCTAAACTTTCCAAGCTGCAATGTCTAAAATACTAAAGAAAAATTATCCCTACCAATTCTGTAACAGCAAAAAGACAGAAATATTTTGGGGAAGGGGGGGGGGAAGGAAGGAAAAGTGTAAAATTAATTTTATAGAGAAAACTGATGCATTTTCTGAGAATTTTGAATATTATGAGACAATTACATAGAAAAAATGCTTACTACGAAAAAATTGAAAAGAAGAGATTTTTAATTAATTACATAGCTAATTTTGTTTTGCTAAAAGCTGTTTCGTAAATTAGGCTGTATAGCATTACGCCTTGTAAAATATTGTATAATAAAGTTGCCAAAATGAAACTTGACAGCATATGACAGATATAATATGACAGCAAAAAATAAAAATGTTTTATTTTTAATGTTATTTTTAAATATAATTTCAATATGTTACTATTATTTTAATGAGATTTACATGTTATGATGTTTTAAAAAAAAATCGTCGACAAATTTTCAGATCTCAGAATTAAAAATTTTCTACAGAAACATATCTTAAAATCGCCAAAATGTTGACAAGTCGCCAAATTTAGAACCGTTTAATAAAAGAATTCACATCTCCAAAAGCGAAAACTTGTTCAAGAGCTCTTTATTAGGAAAAATGAATTTCCAAATGCTTATGTTTCACTTGAGTTTCACAGAAACTCGAGTATCCCATCTCGAGTATCTCAAACAAATATTAGAAATAGAAACAAATTATAACTTGTGAAAGCCATTCAAAAGAGAACCATATATGTCAGTGAATCGCCAAAAATATTCCTCCAAAATGCTAATTCACACTTAAACTGGCAGTGATAAAAACAGACAAAAATTTCAAATGATTAAAATTAAGGACCTTCTGCTGATTTTGGCCAAAATTAAGGACTTTTAAGGACCAAAAATCAAAGGACTTTTTAAGGACTCTTAAGGACCGTACAAACCCTGATATACCAGGCTGTGGCGTCAGTAGGAAGAATGACTGACTCCGACTCCTGGAACTTCAAAGTCTCTCATATACAGTCAAAAGTCGTTAATCCGGACTCGTCAGGACTTCGGCGATTCCGGATTATAGATCATCAGTTTAAATCTCGTAAGATGGCATGCAGAAATTCTAAAATTAAAAATATTAAACCATAATTTATGAAATAAAGAACAATTATGATCTAAAGGGTATCAAAATTTACAAAAAAAAAAAAAAAAGCTTAATATTTGTTTGTTTACTTTATTAAACATTTCTTTCAATGTAAGTTTTAAGGACCAAAAATCGGTTCCAAAAAATTTAGGGACTTTTAAGGACTCTTAAGGACCGTACGAACCCTGTATTACATTATGCAAATATTTTCGTTAGTATATATGTTTTACCTTTGTATTTTATAAAATAAATCATAATTTAACCAATATTAATTTTCAAAATTTTTCTTTTATATCATTATTCTTCAATTTCAGTATTCTGACAACCTTTTTCTGTGATCTAATTCTATATTGAAGGGAAAAAAAAAAAAAAAAAAAACTCTTTTACAAAAAAAACTTTTGTATATTTTAACTCTAAAATACATGTAGATTTGAAATATGTAATAAAAAAAATATGCAATTTTTGAACCTATTTTGATAAAAAAAGAGTATGCAGTGAGAGGTTAATGATTAAAATTTCCATCCCTTCCCCAAAGAGCTGCGTACATTAAAAAGAAAATTACTTCAGTGTAACTATAATTTTAAACTTTTTACCATACGAAATGAATTTTACCTTGTAATAGGTTGCTCTCCACAAACTTCCACTTTGTTCTGACAATTACCCGTAGCATAATCAAATTTCAGAAGATTAAAAGCATCAGAGAGAGGTTTGCAAGGGTATTCCCATAATGGATGAGGTTCGATAACAGCATCAGTAAGTGATATTGCCTTCTGTTAAAAAAAAATAAACATTTCTAAAAATTTCATGCAATAATAAAACTGTAATTTTTTAAAACTTTGCATGTATTACAACTACTAACATAATTAAAATTATGGCCTGCAATTTCCTTCTCTCTTAGACCAACAAGAAAAGAAATGCACTGAAACTTGATCTTGTTGCATGCACTCGAGATGTCTAAATTTATCAGTGACATTTACACTGATAAAATGAAATTGCCTTTATCTCTTAATTCTGGAGAGAACTTCTGGATAGAAGAATATCAAGAGACAGATATTTTTGATACGGTTAACTTATTTTAAAGTTTTAGTAGTTAAAGCTGATGCCATTAGTTTCATCCTGCAACATTGTTACGAATTTGGTATTTAAACAGCTAATGTTAGTTCATTTATAAATTAAATGGTTTTATTTCCAGCGCAGTGCAGCACGTGACGAATATTAAAAGAAAGCTAAGCCGGAAAAATTGAAAATACAAGAGCGCGTGCGTTTAAACATTTAATAAATAAATATCTCTTTTTGATTTCGAGAAAGAACTAGAAAATTCTCACGCGCGATTTTAAAAGCTCATATAAAAAGGAAGGAAAACTTCTCAAGTTCGATTAGTTAGTTAGTTTGTTGTTGTTTTAAGGGTTTGTTTAGAAAACTGCTCTTGTTGACTGTAGCGAATTCGCGGATTAGCTTTCTTCAGCTGTTTTGAATTAAGTTCTATTGAACGTTTGAGTAGTTAAAAGATAACTACTGTGATATATAGTGATACTGCACGATTATTTGAGGATATTTAATCATATTTTGTTGTTATAATAATAAATTTTTGTTCATTTTTCATCGGACTTATGCATTTATTTCGTAATGAACCCGTACGCACGCAACAATATTATATGCTGGCTTCCGTTTACTTAAATTAGGCTATAGACTTGGTTAATATAGTGTTACATTTTAGTTATCCGATTGTAATGTTACCAAAAAATACATTTTAATCAAACACTTATCATCTTTCATAGAGCATTTAATATACATTCAGTGTGATTACAAAGATATAGAACAGAAATAATAAATTAGAAATAAACAACTTGAAAACAATTTTACTGCTATTCGGTCTTCTACTATTTGAATTAATGGGTTCTAAGATTGAGTGCTGAGTGCTGTCTGATGATGCTATATGGAATTTTAAGATGGCATATTGGAAAATGCCATCCACTAGCACATCAAACACATTAATGTCACAATATAGTGGCTGTTGCATGATATAATAATGTAAAAGCCGCATATCAACCATATCAAAGATGAAGCTAGATATATGCATTGAGTTTGTTAAAAGCTACACCATTTCTCAAACAAAATTCTACAAATGATCCTTCAGATGCAATTGTGAGTTATACCTCTCTTTAGATGGTAATAATTATTCACTGTTACTTATTGAAGAATGTATCTCTCAGAAGTAGGCAACAACAACAACAACAAAAAAGATTATATCCCTGAAATCATGCCCATGAAATTGATTAAATTGTAGAAGCAACATGAATCAGTTCCTTCTATGAAAACAGTTTCTAAGCATCACTCTGCTCTTGTGAAATCTGAGCTTCTGAACATATCTTGCATCATACCTGTACTGCATATTAGGCCATGCTCTGAGTGATGAGCCAATTAAATGATCAATAAGATTCAGTCACTCCCAACTAACTGACATTGGTGAGAATAATACAGTTGCCATATTAAAAACACCTTGGACATACATTCAACTGATGATGTATACCAAAATAACTTTTCCAATAAGAAATAAAGAGAAAATAATTATCAGTTCTTATAAAAATCCTATTGTTGTTATTATTAAATTTAATATTACAATACAAATGCACTGTTTGAAATATACACTGTATATCAATGGAAATTTAAATTTATTTATCTCTTTTGTTTTGTCAGGTCTCGACTTGGACCTGGTTGAGGATGACCAGGTGAGACATTTACTAAAAATCTGTCCAAAGAACATTTGCTTCTGCTTTCTCAGAATGTTTTGGAAATGTGACATTATTTGGTCATTCTGCACATGCTATAATGGCTTGTTTGAGCTTTAGTGGGTTGGTATACCCCTGCAAAGTTTTTGACATCTATATATTTGACTAAGATTTCTTTGACTAATGAAACAGAGGCTTCTGCAATGTCTTCCTCATCTGAGCCTGAAGAGAGTATAGCTATTTTAGTTTTCTGCTCCTCCTTCTCAAGTTCCAGCAGATCTTTACTGGTTAGCTCTTTTTTGTGTCCATCTACTAATTCTTCCAAATCATTACAACTCCCCAAACCATGGACCAAGCCATAGAGATAATATCCTCAATTATAGGCACAACCTTTTTCAAAGTATCAGTTGCTGCTTTTGGCTGCAAATTCCTCCCAGCAGATTTCAATGCTTTGTAGGAAATTTCCTACCATGTTTTAACCCTTCAATGATTGCAAAATCAAGCAATTCTTTCTTCCCAAATACATGCAGTATCTGTCAATTGTAGATTTGTAATGCAAGCTGCATTCATTTGCGCCCACTGCGGTGCACATTGATGAACTCGTATGTGAGTTGAACTTGCTGATGAACATCAAAAGGTTAATAAAATGTATGTAATATAAGATAGTAAAGTGAACTTTCCAAAACTCTCATAGGGCTAATTCCGCATCAGAAGTCACTGTAAAGCACTTCTGAAATAGTGCTTTAGTGTATTACTTGTTCTCGAAATTACTGATAGCCAGCTGGTCCCATAGGAGAAGAGTAAAGTTAGCCAAGTAACTCCAGCAATATACAGCCCTGCAAGTTTGGAGGTTGAGCTGGAGCATTGTCCATTATTAGGATGTTCTTCCAAGGCAGGTTTTTCTTCTCTAAATAGCTTTTTACACTAGGCTCAAATGAAGTATTAAATCGCTGATGGAAATATTCTCTGCCTAAGCCTTGCTGTTTGACCTCCACATCAGAGGCAAGTGAGTTTTCTGGATGTTATGTTTCTTAAAAGGCCCTTGGTTTTTCAGAGTGATAGATCAATAAAGGTTTTACTTTGCAATCTCTATTTGTATTGCCACAGAACAAGATAGTCAGCTGTCCTGACTTTTGCCTTGGCAATGCCTTCTCTTTTTATGTAATATAATTCCTATTAAGCATCTTTACTCATATTCATAATAGCAAAAATTTGTATTCTTACAAGAGAATCAAAGCAAATTATGAGCAGGAATACTGATGCCGAATTTGGTTGAGTACAGATTTGGCACCAGAGGTTGCCGTACAATAACTAACGTCTTTTTGTGCAAAATTAGTCATAGCACTATCTCAAAAGAGGTAAACAAGGATACAACATGTAGTCATGACTCGTCAAACTAGATGTATTTCGAACAAATATCGTATACCACACAGAACATATAACAAGAGTTGGGACTTATTTTAAAGCAGATGTTTATCAAGATACCACTGTACCAATTTTCATAACTAATAACGATTTGTTTAAAACTTTTAGAACTACTATTTCAATGATATTATGATTGCTTTTTATTATTCAGCCTCTGAATATATAACAGACTGGTTGCATAAATTAAAAGAAAAAAATTCCATCTTCTCCATAAGGAAACTACATTTTAAAGAAAGAAGGATGAAATTTAAACAACCATTATCACTAATTATTATTTGCAGCTCCATTGGGACTGAATGATTCTAAAGCTGCAATCTACTGCATAACTGATATTCTTACTTACATATATATCTGAATTCATTTCTTAATTTAATACTGTCGTATATAACTACTATTTTTAATAAATGATAAATACATATTCTTTAAAATTTCTAGACTTTTTCAGAGATTTTTCATTTTTCAAGCATACATTATAATGTTTTCTGAATTTTCCCAAATTTTAACACATTTGAAACTAAAACTACAAATTTAAACATTTAGCACTGCATAATCATTATTTAAACTCAAATTTTCATTTTGACAGATACAGCAAATATTTTCAAAATACATACCTGAATCATTTGATCAAACTTTGTTATATTAAAACCTTCAACACTATTAACTGGAGCCCTAATTTTCCACAAATCTTCAAAATCAACTGCTACTGCTCTTAGCCTTCCTATCTGTGGTATAACTTTCACATCTGATGGTAAAACATCTTTCAAAGACAGCCTTGAACACAGGAAGCAGGTCAAATCCCAAGGACGAATAGAGTTGACAAAATAAGGTTCTGATATTAAAACATTAACCTATAAAGATCCATTAAAAATTAATAAACATTTTGGAATGATATACAATATTTTTAACTAAATAACATAGATAGTGGGATGAATATCCTCTTATATGCTGTAATGCTTATATTAAATTACAAACAGTAAAATATTTAGTATTGAATTTAAATGAATCCACCATTTTTTACAAGGTAGACAGATGACAGGCTCCTAAAAAAGGGTGCAAAAATTATATAGTGCATATGACAAAACAGACTTGTTCCAGACATGAGAAACCAGTACAATATGTTATGTACGTGTTATATTTACAGCTAGTTATATGCTCATACTTTTAGTGCACATCTTATACTTTATTGTTGGTTTCTTCTGTTTTATTGTTTTTATACATGTTGTTATTTTAATCCCTGAATGAGTGAAGTAAGACAAAAAGAATTTATAATTTTAAAACTGACTGGGAAGAATGATATTATTTTGTCAATACTTATATTGCATCATATTATTTTATCACATGTGTATTTGTTTGATGTGGGGCAGTAGCATTGCAGTGCCAAAAACACATAATGTTCACTTTCAGACACTTTGAATATGAACACTTGAATCTGAACTAAGAAGAAAATCAAACCTGTTTGCCTTGCAGTGAGTTTTCACTAAGCCTATGGTAGGATGTCAAAACACCATGATTGCTTCTTTCAAAATTTCTCATATGCTCACAAACAAAACAGGACTTTACAAGATGGTGAATTGTTAAAAGAAGCATTTTTAACTGGTATTTATTACTTATTTGAGAGATTTTGTAATAAGTGTGAGATTATGTCAGCAACACAAGATAACATCTTCATAAGAAGACTACACACCATTTCAAAAGACATGCAAACTCTGTTAAAGTATTATTAGAAATATGTGACTAGTTTTCACAACAATTTGATAAGTCTAGAAATATACGAGACACTTCAAAATTAGCAATAATGGTAAGGATGGTATTTAGTAACTTTACTGCAAAATAAAACCTACTAAAAATATTACCCATGAAAGGAAAAATAAGAAGTGCAGATACTTAAAACATATTTATAGCACAAGCAAAGTCAATAGTCAAAAGTTTGCACAAACTGTTGGCAATAACGACTGATGGAGCGCCAAAAGTTTGCACAAACTGTTGGCGATAACGACTGATGGAGCGCCAATAGTTTGGTAATAATCCTCTCTATAAGAAAGATAAATCGTTTTCATACCTTATGTCGTATCATAGTATCATTGAACAGAAAGATTTGTGTGGTAGAATATTGCCCTTCAGACACACCATGAAAATAATAAACATAAAAAAATAATATACTTTATTTGAGTAGCCCATTTGCAAGACTGTCTTTCCAAGATTCTAATAGACAAACATGATCTCATTCTGCACATAGTTATTTAAAGATAAACTGGTTTTGTGAATATCCCATCTGCAAATGAAATTACTAGCACATTTCCCAAATATGAAAAAAATTAGAAGTGAAACGGGCACTGGCTTGTCCTCATTTGTAATAAATTTTTAATTACTTCATTAAAGGTTTGAAAAACAATTTCAACAGTTGATGTTATCTAGCCATGACACTGCCCTAAAATCCATCAGCCAGATAAGAAATTCATTATATAATTGACAGAAACAAATTTCAGTTCTCAAAGAAAGCATCATACAAGATAAAATTGTTTTTTGATTCTATACTTTTGCAAATCATTGATTTCAACAATGAATATTACAAAATCAAACTATAAATCTCAACTTAGAGAGAGATGACAATTGCTTTCAAGCAGGAATATTGCCACACTTTCTTGATTATGAAGGAATTTCCAATGAAATGCAATGTGCAATACCCCGTTCCCTTTAAGAATTACATTTTTAATAAAGAATTTTATATTTACACTTTTGTTTATCTAGTTTAGTAATTATTTATTTTACCGTAAAAGATAATCAATAAATTTCGTATCTTCGAATTACATTTCTGGAATTTTTTTTTGTATATTTATGCATTATTAACTATGTCATCCAATAAATTTACCTTCAAAAAATAAATGTGTCTGCCCCTCCACCAGTATTCTAGAATGTGCTCTAAGGTACAAAAAGGTTGGGGAATCCTGCTTTGCAACTAAACACACATCATTAGGCAGCAAATATATAACCGGTGATGGAAGCAAAAAGCAACTGAGAAACTTGAAAGCAGTTTGGGGGGGGGAGGAGCAGAGGAGCAGTTGAGAAAGAGTTAAAAAAAAAAAAAAAAGTTTTCTATTTATCTATTGGGTACAGTCTTCCAACAATGTTTACATTTCAAGCTTTACTGTTAGTCAACAGATTACCTAGAGAGAGGCAAATCATGCATAGATCATGAATATATTAAAAGTTGCATTATAACTACATCTGAAGAGCTATTCAGAGATTTTAAGAACAGGGAAGAAATTCTTAAAGTAAAAGAGTTACCACTACCTGACGAAACAGTAAAAGAACAATCAAAATCTCTTCGAATATAGGCAAACAGCAAACCTAAGACCTTAAAATTGGTTAGAACTTTATCAATAGTGATCGATAAATCATCAATAGATGAATCGATGCATATGAATGACACAGCCTAAGTTCACTTTTTATTCAATTTTATTTCATTGATGGGTCTTAAACAAGGCCTTTTCAGATTATTGGCACTCAAAGGTCAAACACATGGCAAGGATATTGCAAATGCTGTAATTTAATTCATGGAGAAACAGCATATTCCACTCGACAAAAGTTTCAGTTTCAGCATATGGAGCAAAGAGTATGATTACAGTGAGAAAAGGTTTTGCTCCTATTTTAAAGGAAAAAATTAACCACGAAATACTTGTTTACCATTGCATCATTTATCAAGAAGTGCTTAGCATGAAGACATTTCTAGAAGAAATTTCCCATATTATGGAATTGGTGATCAAGATTGTCAACACAGTTGTAGCTAAAGCTCTTTATCATCACTGGTTTAGAGAATTTTTTAGATGAAATGGAGAGGAAGCATGCAGATCTGCTGCTGCATAATAAAGTATGTTGGCTTTAAAAAGAAAACTTCTTAACATTTTGTTTCCTTATTATTAAAAATTAAAGCATTTTTCCTTGAGAAGTATGTTGACTATTCTAAACTAACAGGTGATCAGTGGATCCAAAAATTTTATTCTGCGGCATATGTTTACGTCTCATCTAAATCATCTTAATCATAAACTAAAAGAAAAAAAACACAAATTTTTTTATGTTGGAAGAAGTCATTTCATTAAAAACCAAATTATGCCCTTTTGCTCAAGATTTTGAAAGCAAAACGTTCATTTTCGAAGCCTGCTGAAACAATGCCAATAAAATAATGCAGTAATTGATATTTACTATTTCAAAACAAAAATTTTAAATATGATGGAAACTTATCTACAAAAAATTCAGGAATTCAGAAATAGAATAGCAATATTATCTTTTTAAAAAAATCTGACATAATAATAGAACTAAAATTTTCTCCCTTTAATATTGGCATTGTGCTTTTGAAATGCAGTTACTGGAGTTAAAAAGCAAAGAATCATATAGTTCCAAATTTTAAAGCCTTAATGCTGATACAGCAAAATTTGAAAAAAATTAATTTGATTTTAGTTCACATTTGAAAAAAATGCTTTGCTTTGAAATACATGGAGAAGGAAAATGTAATAATTTTTAACACCTAAGAATAGTATTCTAGAATGATCAGTTAAAAAAATAGCATTTGCTGTTCTTTATCAAAAGTAAATTAAGAAATTATCTGAATGATGAAGACCGGAAATCCTGTTTGAAAAACTTAAAAGCAATGATATAGAAACCCGAGTTATCCAAACATTCCAAGGAAATGTGTGGTCACTGTTCACATTAAATGCGTGTTTTGTCACATTTTTATTTTAATGTAAAAATAGTTTTGTCAATGAATAAGATTATTATTATTATATCTGGTTTTATTTAATGTTAATCTGAGTCTTAAAAACATGGTTTTTGAAAAGAAACTTGGCTAAAAAAATCTTAATTGTTGTACTGCTGATCTTTGGTTTTTTTGACTGATGAGTTTGTGGACAATTTTAAAAATACGACTTTTATGCTTATTAATTTAAAAAATAATTAATTTATTAAATTTAAAAATAGTTAATTTATTAAATATCACATACTTCTTCCATTTCTAAATCTTCTTTTGTGAGATTAAGAGGCTCTTTCTTAATAATTGTAATCTTATCTTTAACATCATTGGCTTCTATATAAGCCCGAGTCATAGTTTCATGTAAATAGCTTGGTTCAACAGCAAAAACCTGAAAGCATAATGGAATCCAATTAAATTATTGGTATAAATATAAAATAAATTTTAAATAATCAATAAATTTTTTCTTGAAAATTAAATACTAAAATATACTGATTTTGATTACATTACTGGGAATACACTTTGTAAAAAAAAAAAAAAAAAAAAAAAAAAAAAAAAAAAATTTACTCCAGTAATCGAATGTGTCATACTTGTCTTATTATCACTTAACTGTTTTCATTTCTGTGTGATAAATAACCAGATCAATGAGCTCAGCAAGAAAGAACTACAAGAATTTAAAACAGCAACAAAAGAATGATTTTGGAAGAAATGGGTTCAGAAGAAGATCCTATTTCTCCAATATGTGAAATTTATGCAAAACAGGGCAAAATGAAAAGTTTTCACATAGTGATATCATCCTAATAAAGCAGTAGCATTTTCAATGACAATTAGACATGGCTCACTTTAGAAATATTTTAAAACACTGGCAACAACAAATCACTCTGGACAAATTTTTGGAGAAACAGAAGCCCAGTGACTCAGAGTGAAGTCTGATGAGAGACAAAGACGATGCCTCCTTAAGTTGAAGTTAGTTAGTTGATATTTTTATGAAAAAGAATTTTGCATCTAAACAAAAACATCTTCCTCCTCACTTTCAACTTGCCTATTCACTTTCTTTCATTCAACAACAGTAAAATTAAATTGAGTTTTAATCTATTTTATCTGTCCCTAGCATTCAAATTCGGTTGTAGATTTAATTATTTTCATTGATTTTGGATTATAAACTTGCACACGAAATACTGTTGAAAAGTTTAACTCTCCAACAGGTTTGGAGCAAATATTTCAAAGTTCTTCAAAATGTCATGAATAAGTGGTATTTTCTTGATTATAATTCTAAAATAACACTCTTGCCTTCTTTTCTTCCTATACACATTACACTTGAAATTGGAGTGATCAGGATCTGGCAGAAATTTTTATGTGTAACAAATGGTGAAGCCATCTTTCAATATGGAATAAGCAATCATCCGCATTCCAGGAATGAATTTATCTATTTTACATAAAATCCTATAGGAAAAACTGTTTCGGAATATGGATAATTCAGTTAACAAACAGCCTTCAGAAATGAACTAAATTCACAAACTGAGGTTTCTCTGTATCTGTCAATGCTAACTGATAAATTTAATAAATGAAAAATAGAACTGAATCATCTTCATGATACTTTGAGGTATATTCAGATCTTTGGTTACCACCTTTTATGTTTGTACCCCCTCGAGTCTACTGATTAACCACCACTTTTGATCTTAATTTAAATAATGCTTTTGAATTATAACTAATGAACTACACACTACATTACTAACTAATAACACTATACACCCAAATCACTAGCATGCAACTTTTATTTGTTCCCTAATTTATATATTTCATGCTCTGTCAGAAATACATAAATTAGGTGCAGAAATCCAGTTCTGGGTTCAGCTGAAGATGATTATCAAAAATAATTACATAGTTGGACATTGGCTGAAAACTTTAATCAATAGCCATATTTTTTAATATCATTCTTTAACTTTGATGAGTATTATGAGAGAGTAGTATATTATCCTTTCATCCATTAATTTCAGTTATTAAGTGTCTAAATGTAAATTTTTGGCATGATAACCATTAAGTTCAGACTCAGTAAATTATTTCTCACTTACTTTTTTAGCTCCTAATTTTGCAGCCATCAGAGGAAGAAGTGATCCATCACCTATACAAAGGCATACAGAAGAAATAGTAATAACCTAAAAAGAAGCATAAAATGTCAAAAATTGCAGTGATTCATTCCATGAACATTTAAATGCTAAAATCTAAAACAGCATCATAACTAAGGTATAATTTTTTTTCCTTTTCTTTTTTCTTCTTTTTATATATATATATATATATATATATATATATATATATATATATATATTTGGATATAAACAGAACGATATAAAAAAGTTCAATTTGGGGAGAAAGAATGAAATTAAGTATCATCAATCACACATGCTTCACCTGTATTTTTATGAATATTACATATTACAGCTAGACATTTTGAAGACTTTGAAATCCTAAATTTATATAAAAAGGCATCACCTCAAACCCCATAAATTTACGAGTTTGTATGTAAAAGTTAACATTTAGTTAACATGGTGACTAGGTGTCAATTTCTTTTATCCTTTATCATAAAAAAATAATGTTTATTTAAATGTCATACTTTAATATCTATGATTGGTTTTGCTTCTTTACAAGTGTTCATTGACTTTACTGCATGACTATCAAGTCACTGAAATGTCAAGTAAGTAATGTTGTTCATTAGACAGATCTTAATTCAGAAGTCAAACAAGATTACAATTATTAATCTCACAAAAGAAGATTTAGAAATGGAAGAAGAATGTGATATTTAATAAATTAACTATTTTTTAAATGTGAAATGGCAGCATGTGGTAGTGATTAAAGTCTCATTAATAAGCATAAAAGTCGCATTTTTTAAATTGTCCATAAACTCATCAGTCAAAAGAACCAAAGATCAGCAGTACAACAATTAAGATTTTTTTAGCCAAATTTCTTTTCAAAAACCATGTTTTTAAGACTCAGATTAACATTAAATAAAACCAGATATAATAATAATAATCTTATTTATTGACAAAACTATTTTTACATTAAAATAAAAATGTGACAAAACACGCATTTAATGTGAAAAGCTGAGGACAGTGGTTCGGTAAAACTATTGAAACTAGTCCTGTGAAAATTTTAAAAATGTAACGCTGATTTTTCTTGTTTGACTTCTGAATTAGTATTTATTCGGCGTGTTATGGTGTCTTAATTAGACAGATCTTATTAAAAATGTTCTAACACATTGATACAAGTGATTTTTCGTGGTTTCATAAATATCACTGAACAAAGACAACTTCATTTAGGTAAATTACAGTTTACATACATGCAAGCACTGATTTTTTGCTTTAATAGCCTATCATAAAAAAAGCACACCAGACATATAACATTTTATGAGTATAAAAAAGATAATAGTGCTTCAAAAGATATAAAAAAAGGACAGTTTGGACTTAAATAAAGTATGATAAAGGTGTTTCGAATATTCACAACTGCCAATAATGATTGTGCAAATTTTGACAAAGCAATTTTAGAAAGATGGCAGCTGCTATGGCAACCTATTCTTTTGATTATGTGTTGAAAGCTGCAATTAATGGAAATTCATATGCAACTGTTGAGAAGCTGGCAGATAAGGTTAATCCAACATCCTTAACTTTCAATTAGGAATTTGGAATTATGACCAAGCTTGACAGACAGGCTGGAAATAAAAATGATGATATTAATTAGAAAGAACATGTCAGCATCTGGGCAGTGGTCTTCATTCATCCATTTTCTGGAGCTGCCTAGTAACTGATGGTTTGAAACTTGCAAAATTTTAATGATGGAAAAGAATGCAAATAGCATGAGCCACCTGAAATACATCTTAAGACCTTTTTTCTGATAAATCAGCTGATTTCTTGATTAACAGCATAAAAAATCTATTACATCATTGGAAGAATGTTATTAATTCAGATGATGGAAATATACAGTTGATTAAGTTAGTATCATTTTTCCTTCCAAAGCTACTTTCAGAAACACTTCTTATGGTATGACCTAATAGAAACAGCAGAATTTTTAATAAACAAAACAGAAAGTTGGCCCTTAAATATGGTTTACAGCAAAGTTAACAAGTTTATTAAATTTGCAGACTATTATCAATACATATGTAACTTATGAAATCTGCATATTACCAAGATATATTGTGAAAATGCATGAGTTCTATTATAGTTTCCTTTATCTGTTCTATGCATACCTAGTTTTTCAGTGTTCTACCAATGACTCTCATTTCACACTTGCCTGTGAGTGAGAGAATACTGATGTTACACAATACAACTACAATTGCTATTTGTATAAAACAAATTTCTCAAGGAAAGATCTTTAATAGTTTGTAGAAAATTTTACAGTAACTGTGCCCAGAATTTCTAAATACTAATACAAGACATATAATTTCATAGGAACTTTTAACCATCTCATCTTTAATATTTTGGAAATTTATTAAACTAGTTTAAAAGATTAATATTGTGTGCCATTTAGAAAAACAAATAATTTCTTGGCGTCTTAAAAATACTTATTAAGTCAGCAGGATTTAGGTACATATCACATCTTTTATTATAAATGGAAAGAAATTTGATACATATGCAATGATATTAAAACAATGATTGTTCATATAATCAAGTACGAAAACTAGTGTGCAAATGTTTGGAAAATCCCTGCATCACTGCAGCTATTTTAAAAAAGAAAAGAGAATTAAAATTACTTTGTGTGGCAACACAGTATAAGGCATACTTGTTCTAACAGAATTTCCAAGCAAAGCAAATAGATTAAGTGGAAAATGCAGCACAAGAAACATACTGACTTAAACTGTATATCGGAAATTCTGGAAAGAATGCCAGAAAGGACTTAAAGGAAGGCTGGCAAGTTTCATCTGCAGTGGAAAAAATTGATCAGAAGAAATAGAAGTGGAAGAAATGAAAGAAACTAATTTTTGAACTTGTATAAATTTATTCACATGTAGCACTTCTTATGTTATTAATTTAAATATTTTCAAATTCTATTCATTGGAATATATAATATAAATGTGCTTTCCCCCATAAGATTTGCTTTCACATCTGTAAATTTAAGATAGACAAAATTTCAATTCATATCAATAACATAAATAGCATTCATTATTTTTCAGAAAGACTGAAAACCAATTGAACTAAAAAAGAAACATAATGGAATTAAATCTACATCATTGTAAAAATAATGTTATAATAAAGTAGATCATTTTTCTTATTGCATGCAATAATATTTTTTAGGTTTGAATTGATAAATTTAAAAGGTCTAATTTGATTTTTTATATTATTCACACTTAAATTAATAAAAAACTGCTCCAAATCTGCTGAATTAAAAAAAAAAAAGTCTGCTCCAAACTTGCTGAATTTCAATCTCAAACACATTACATTACTCACATGAAATTTCAAAAATGGCACATTCCTTTTACCCATACATAATTTAATATATTGCAAACAATGTCAAGGTTATGCAAGGTTATGCAAGGTGCATTCCAGCAGGGTTGTCAAATTTCTTCCATGGTGGAGAAAACCAGCAAGAAAAAATAGATTTTTTACAAATGCTACACTCATGCATAACACTACTACATTACCAATTAAATCTTTTCATTATATGTGTATATTTAGCCTTATCTGTAGGCTACAAAAATAATATTTATGTATTTTTTGCACTTGCAATGAGATATGCTTTTACAGCAGATGGAACTTCTTTTCCAAGAAAATACTGAAATATTTCTAAAAACTATTTCTTTACAAGGCCAACATTTGAAAGGGAAAAATTCAGTGAAATATCACGTCAATAAACAAGAATTTTACCACGCATTTCACTGCCTTTTAAAGAAATTATTTAATTACTTTGCATTTTATAGTAGAAATAATAAGAATTTCTGGATACACTACATATATCTTAGAAAAGACACACCTAAAATAGTAACTTAATTAAGTATTTTAAAGAGCATTAAGGGGACACCCATTCAAATTAATCAGCACTCAATTTTTATATTATTTCAACTGAAATTATTTTAAAAAATTGCTTTTTTAAATGCAAAAAATGCTTTAAATTCTAAGATATATCATGAGATTATTTTATATGAAATAAAGAAGCAACCATAAGGTAGCAATGGGATGACAATTGTGCACTAAATATGGTAACATGTCTTATCCCTTTAAAAGTAACTACTCAATGATATTGTGAATACATGAACATCAATGCAGTAATTTTTCTCCCCAAAATTTTTAGATGCCTTTTAAATCTTTCTATCATACAATTTTATTGATGGAGGAAGGACACTAACTGATCCGCTGATCCATCTTATGAACAAAGGAAGGGATATATTATGAAATACTAGGTTTATCTTTATAATTTTAGAAAGGTCTTTTACAAAAAAAATGCTTGTTTACAATTTTAAAGATGCAATCCATTTAAGCAGTCTTGTTTGTCTCTTTAATTTAACAAAAATAATAGGCAAAGCAATATTCATAACTCATTGTAAAATTTGTTCGTTTAAATAATTTTGTTTCAATAAGGTTTCTAAACTGGTGACTTTTAATTTGTCATTAACTGACAATCAAGTGTGTGATTTATCATTTGTACACTGTTACTTCTGAAATAACAGTTTACTTGAAATAATTCTTCCAAATGTTTCTTCAAAATAAAAGTGATTAAAAAATAGCATTGGACATTTTGGATAGTTAAATAAATATTTTAATCAAAATATTCAGAAATGAATATAGTGCTATTATTCATTATCACTGTCATATAAAACTACTACATAGTTTGGTAGTTTTGACTGCTTTTAAGCAATGCTTTTTAAGTTATAATTTTTTAATTCCATACTTCAATGCTTTTATTTACAATTTTCTGCTCCTCCTTACATATTTACAATTACACAATAAATAATGCTATATTCTCTAAAAATGAGAAGCAATATTTTTTTATATATTATATAATAAAAAATATATATGACAAAAAATTGCAACAGATACTTTATCCGCTAATTGTTTTATTAAGATAAGAATAAATGTTATGAAATTGGGATGATATAGACAACAAAATCATATACAATCTCTTTGTTTTGGATTGCTTTATATATGTATATAATTCATAATAATTTATATGCTTTATATATAAATCTGTATTCTAATTTTTTCTAAAGTATTAATAGGAATTTTCAATCAAAAATATTGTTGGAAAAATAAACCTTTTCTAGGGCTGCAGCAAAAATGTGATTTCTAGCAGCATCGTTTTTCATTCCAATCCTTAAACGAGAATCAGTAACATGCATAAGACAACTACATCCTGGTTTCTCTTCAATCGTATTTTCCTCATTGTCATCACTTTTATCAATATTTTCAACTCCTAATCTAAAAATCAAGAAACTCATTCAAGCAATGTTATAATACTTTAACAGAATTTTATTTGAAAATTTAGAACTATAGTACAAATACCAAAGATCACATATATGTGCATAATAAACATATAAATAAGATATTTTAAACTAATATCAAACTGAATAAAAGTTAAAAGATTTACACAGCATACCTAACCTGTGAACTGTAGATTTAAGTTACATAATTAAGCTGGTGGCCTTTAATCACTAGATTACAGATTTACATAAAGACATACAAAATATTGTAAGTCAAATTCCAATCCATCACCATAAAAAATTAATAATGTAGTATAATAAATCCTGTGCATTTTTGTGTTTCCCCCCCTCCAAAAAAATTAGTGCTATATTACAGTCTAGAAGAAAAGACAACCCAACTATTTTGTAAGCAAGAGAAACTACTTTTTTCATATATGTAGCATCTCAATCTACTAGCACATGGGGAAAATATGAAATAGTTGAATAAAAGATGGATGGAAGGAATATAAATAAATATTATAACAAATAATGGATAACTCACAATCACAAGCAACTTATTAATGGCAAAGTTGGCCAGCCCACAAAAGCTTTTATTATGTAAGGGAGGCTGAAAGGGGATAAAAATTTTAAATTCTTGAGCTAAAATGCAGCCATAACTGTCATCAGTTTTAGAAGTGGCACTGAATATACTCTCCTTTAACTCCAAATAACCTTCAGTCTGACTCTTTATCACTGACTGAGCCCCACCCCAACCAGGCCCATCTAGGGAAATGTGCAGTCATATCAGTGTCAGTGTTTAATATAGCATTACATAAATCATAATATGTTTATGGATGTGAATATTAATAAAAATTTTGTTCTCATTTATTATTTTATGTTCATTAACATAAAAATAAATACTTTACGCTACTTTTAGTTATAAAAACACTTGTTAACACAGTTTAATTAAACAAAGAATATATATATTTGGATGTGTGGAACACACCCTTCTGTTTGCATTATATAATTGGTTCATTTTATGGCAATCCAATTTATGATACCACTCTCAGGATAAAATACCATGATAAACAGAGGCAAGGTGCACGGCAATGATTAAGAATTTAGACATTAATAATAACAAATTCAGAGAAATAGTCTGATATTTTGAGAGAGGGAAGCAGAAGTTTAGAACATGAACACTTGTAGCACTAGACGAGTTTATATAAATCTTTGAAAAACTTCCAATAAATACAAAAAAAGCAACAATTGTAGACACTGCATGATTAGCTATTATTTGGCCTAATTTCAATATAATAATAAAGAAAAAGCTTCAATGCTATAAGAACCATTAAAATATGGCACAGATACAAATTATGTTATTTGTAAATGTAAAATACAAGAAAATGAGATAAGGCAATGCATTGGGATATGTGATCTGGGATCATTCTACTAATTCCAACAGCATGAAACTTCTTTTGTGACATTTTTCAATATCTGAACTACAGCAACATAAGCTGCTAAACTGAAATTCATAGCTTCTTTAAATTATTGCAGACATAAACTTAGCCTGAGAATAAAAAATGAACAGACTTGATGAATTACACTTAGCGAAGAAAGATTTGGAAAATAAATTTCTGTCTAATTTCCCTGAGCAAAAATGGAAACAAATGAGGAGGAACAAAAATCGAATTGCACTCTTATATATGTTCAGTAGTGCATATTACCACTGTTAACATGAATTACTAAATCATTTTTTGCTTCATATTATTAAATACAAAATTTACACTTTGTAATACAACAAATCTAAAAAAAAGTACCTGGGTGTTCCAAACCAAAAGCTATGAGCATCATGATAAGCATTTATAGTAATTATGTCCCCTTTTAATACTTTTGTAGTGTCAGGCAAATAATAAATTGCTTGCATCCAGTGATCTCTCCACTGCACAGAAAACATATATTTGTCCAAACAAGTATTTTTTATGAATAGTAACAACATTCTTGAATGAAAACATAACTCAATAAATAAAAATAAAACATGAATAATTAGTCATTTAAAAATAATCAAAAAGCTAGCAATTTTATTTTTAATAATATCAAAATCTTGAAAATATATTATCAAGAATTAGACAAAAATTAATATCATGTACTTCCTTGCTCTAATAAGTTTCATTTAAAATATAGCGAACCCTCCTAGTGGTGACCAACTTCATAAGATGACTACCTCAGATAGTAAAAATATTTTTGAGAACATAAAAAAACATTGGTATTGAACATCACCTCTCTGAAATAATTTGAAACCATGGTAATCATCTTAGAAAATGGTCTCTTATATGAATGCCCCATAAAAAACACATGCTGGAATTTTAAACCCTAATATGGCATTTATATGATAACAAATAATATATGTATATAAAAAGAAGAGAGATTCTATTTCTACAGCGATTCATATTTTTACAATAAAAAGTTAAATATTTCAAGAAATTAAGAAAATGAGCAAGAAATATAACTATGTAAGCTACTACTTTAAGCTAATACTGATGATATATGAAGGTGAAATGATTTTAATAATAATGGAACACTCAGTAGTCTATGACGTGACCTTAATCAAAGACTGACACATTTCAGATGATTCTTATTTTCAAAAAAATTAATGAAAAACATGTTCAAAACTTTAGTTTAATATAAAAGCTAACTAAAAAAATTAATAACAAATATTTAACGACAACATTAGTAGAACAACATGTTTCAACAAATAACTATGCAGGTATTTAGATATACAGTACAAAGTCCAAAATCCGGACTCCTCGGGACTTCGGCGATTCCGGATTTGGGATTTTTCCACATATCAGATCATCAGTTTAAATCTAATAAGATGGCATGCAGAAATTATAAAATTAAAAATATGAAATCATGATTTATGATTTTAACCACTTGCGCTAAAAAGACGTGCCATGCACGTAGATGCTTTTGTCTCATCCCGCGAGTGACGTGAACAACACGTCGATAGGCATTTATTGCAAAAATGAAAATAATGTGGTGCACACGTCGCCTAACAACAAGATTGTTTATTGCTTGAGTTACAGCTCTGGACATGGTGGAGTGACGTAAATGAGACACTTTACCGCTTGTTATATTGTAGCGTCCGGCACCGCAACCGTGAAATTTATTTGTATTGCAAGTGGTTAAGGGTATCAAAATTTACAAAAAGAAAGCTTAATATTTATTTGTTTACCTTATTAAACATTTCTTTCAATGTAAGGTCTATAAGTTGCTTCGTTTCTTTGTGCTAATGCTTGCTCTTTAATTCCGTGCAGACAGACATAATCTCCTCTTGTTTAGTTATGTTGTTAAAGTCCTGTAAGTGCTGCTTGGAGAATTCCTGACTAAGTTGTCATTCGAAATTTTCTCTGTTTACTGTAACTTCTTTGTCACTTTCTTCACTATTCGGTAGCGGATATTTTCTGTATCTAGAACTATACTACAAATTTCGTCATTCATTAATTGATTGATGATTGAGAAGCATTGTCATCACAATGAAAAACTTCTTTTATATCATCTTCATTTATTACTGGTTCTCCACATTTCTTTACAAAATCTGTTAATTGGAAAATTTCACCTTTGTTTCGCGATATCCGAAAACCTTTAAAATTTGCGGCTATCATCATCAAATTTAGTTATCCTTCACATATTTGGCTATGCATCATGAGCCTGGCGACTAACAAGTTGTTCCGCTAAATTTTATCTTGCTTCTATCGCGCACTGAGACAATTAAGCCTGAATTCTATTAGTTTAGTTATTTATCATACTTATGTCTATTTCTTGCATATGCTTAAGTCTTATCAGAGTTTTAAATAAATAAATTCCAACCATATACTTAAGCCTTACTGAGAGCTGGTGCCTGATGCAGTCTCTGTGGGTTCTAAATTCTGCGACTCGGTGCGGCCATATGATGGGTTTATGTGAAAAACAAATCAGTTATTCTTAATTCAAATAGCCTTAAATGTAATCTTTGGGTCTATCAGTATCATCAACAAAATCTATTTTTAGCATATGAAAAGAAAGTTTTGGTAAATTTTTCCTCGTCAACAATTTTTAGCGCATTTAACTTAAATCTATAATCATCGCCAAGAGTAATGTCAACATAAAAGGTTACCATACTTCTTTATTATTCAATTACTAACATAAAAAAATTGTTTAGGCATCGCTACATGAGTCATTACTCAAGTTGTCATGTTTTAATAAACATACATGGTGAGAGGAAAGTATAACAATAAATAATGATTTGCCAGGTTGGCCTCAGATCAACAATGGGTGCTAAGCAGATACGCAGCAATTGAGCCAAACTTCTGATCGTACAAATCTATGCTAAAATGATTGTTTCTTCAATAACAAGGTAGTTTTCTTAGTGTCGAAGTGAAATTAAGAATCGGGACTCTCCAAATGTTTTATTATGTGCGGAAGGGGGGAATCAAATGCGCATGCATGAAGCCTACAAGAAAAAATGTTGTTGGTGGTTTTGAGGTCCGGATTTTAGATCATTCCGGATAATGGATGCCCGGATTTCGGACTTTGTACTGTACTTCAGCTGAATAATATTATAATGAGTAATATACTAATTATGATTATTAAGTACTAATTGATGAACATCAAAAATTTTGAATTAACAATGCAAAATGTTTCGCCTGGCATTCATTTTTGAAACTGACAATTCTTTAGCCATTAAGGGCTTTCTGTTAAAGGTATTATATGGTTGAACTTCTCACAGATTTAACACATCTTAGTTATAGGTCTTCCCATCACTAATATTTAAATTTTTCAGACACTTTCCATACTTTTTTCTACTAAAATTATTGTTATTTTTTCCATTATTGTACACCCCCTCACCTTTCAATGGGAATGTTTTATCTGGCACTTAAAAATGATAGCTGCTTTGTTTGCTTTAAAAATCATTTTTGGTTTACAAACTACAATAAATTTAGATAACTCAGTGAACTATTCCATTTGCCTTTTATGGGTGAGGCACTTTCAACACGTAATTTTTTCATTATGTTACTGCTAGCTTCAGTTCATCTTGAGCTCCCTTTAAAATTCTTAATTGTGATTCTCTTGGCAAGCAGCTTTGATGTATACTGCAGGACAACTTGAAGATATATTATATATTGGTTTAATTTCAAAATGCTTTCGACAATTAGGGATATTCAACTCTCTTCATTCATTTTCTATTTGGTTTACGATTTAATTTCTTTTTCTTCAGGACAGTCGAAAATGTGCTAAATTATGCTATATACTTTGGCAGCATCACTCTTCCTCTTGACTCTTTTTAATCTACTTCATTATTTACCTTCACTTTTCTCTTAAAAGTTAAGGATTTAGCTTTCTTTTGACATGGTAATTTTAAAAAAATGCAGTGAACTACTTCCAACTGAAAATAGAAGACTCCACTTCCAGATTGAATCAACTTCTCCTTTCTTTCTTTATCGTACCACAATATAGCCTATCAGTAACACATGGTTCAAGATAAAAGGAATAACATAATTAAAACTAAGACAAAAAAAAAAAAAAAAAAAAATTCCAGTACAGAGAGAGAAAGCATGATTTTAGATGAGGCAAGAATTCTAAGAAAAGAGATATAAGGGTTCGTACACATTTCTGCACACAGAGATTAAATACTTTTAAGGACCATTAATGAACAAAATTAAGAACCTATGAGCAAATGAGAACTGAATAAATTCAATTAAAAATATTATCTATGATTGAACTTCACTTTTGTAATACCATCTTAAAATAAACTAGATATGTAAGTAGGATGCACTATTATTAAACGTTAATTAATTAACATAATTATTAATAAGTTTGAGAATAAAATAAACTTTATGAAATTTATCAAGTAGCGTTCAATATTTTACACATATAATAGCTGGACATATTTGAAAAAAGATAAGTAACATTTTATATTTCCTAACAGTTAGCTGTATAATTAAGATACAATAACACGCCGAACAAATATGAATTCAGAAGTCAAACAACAAAAATCAGCGTTACATTTTCAAATTTTCACAGGACTAGTTTCCATGGTTTTATCCAACCATCATCCTCAGCTGCAAAAGCGCAAATGAATGAGATGAGATATAATGATTAGATAAGATATCCAGGCTTTCTTATCTTATCTAATCATTATATCTCATCTCATTTATTTGCGCTTTTGCAGCTGAGGATGACGGTTGGATAAAACCATCGAAACTAGTCCTGTGAAAATTTGAAAATATAACGCTGATTTTTGTTGTTTGACTTCTGAATTGAGTTAACTTTATGTTAACATTTTTCTTTCTTTATGTCTCATTTTGTCACATACTTTCTCAGTCTAGAGCAGTTTCTTAAATTGTGGGTCGCAGGACCTGCAGCAGGGTGTCACCAAAAATTTTAGAAATTTTAATAATTCCTTAATTTATTATAATAATTTTAGAATGTATCTAAAAACAGATAAAGATAAGAAAATGCAGACAAAGAAAAAGCGAAAATGTTTCAGCGCATTCTTTTTATAATATAAACATGCACTTTACTTGCTTTGCACATGACGCTGTCATTTTGTCTGTTACTTATTTAAAATGTTCACATTATTCTATATCTTAAAATTAGAAATTAAAGTTAATGACCTAAAACTGCAATAGTATAATACAGTACAAGTGAAAAAATTGGGAGTTTCACTCATGGGTATGTCGGATATGCACAATGCTTATGGGGTACCACAAAATTTTCGTAAATATTATGGGGTCCTGGTGTCACAAAAAAAATCTCAGTGATAAAAAGGGGTCGCAAATGAAAAAAGTTTAAGAAGCCCTGGTCTAGAGGTTTAGTTGTCAGGCAGCATAGGTTAGAGTGAGAAGTAAGATCGTAATCAGCATGATTCATAACAAAAGACTGGATGTTGGCACTGCTTCT